TATCACCTCCAACTCCCTTGCAAGTTGCGAGGGGATAAACATTTAACTTGGCATTGGCGAAGTAAGAGTTATCTCTAATAATTCCTTCCCAAGCCTTGCATAGTAAACAACAATGTTTCCAGGCATAAAAATACCATTTCTATATTTAAACAAGATGTGTTTGTGAAACACTATGCGCCCAGCGGCAACTAAATTCTAAAAAAGCTATTTCAAGCATATATGTCACAGTCAAGGTCATTGACTTTGGTGTCATTTGAAAGAAATTGATTAGTAAAGCATGGATACCAAATATGAAGTCTCTTTCTCTTGTGGTTCAAATGTTATGGCAAAGGTACGAAAAAGCTATTTTTAGAATAAAGGTCACAGTCAAAGTCACAAGGTCATTGACCTTGGTGTCATTTGAAAGAGATTAATTAGTGGAGTATGCATACTAAATATGCAGTCTCTATCTTCTATGGTTTGAAAGTTATGGCAAAGGTACGAAAAAACTATTTTTAGCATACAGGTCACAGTCAAGGTCACAAGATCATTGACCTTGATGTCATTTTAAAGGGCTTAATGAATGGAATATGCATACCAAATATAAAGTCTCTATCTTTTATAGTTCAAAAGTTAAGGCCAAGGGTAAAGTTTGCAGATAAAAAGCTATTTTTAGCATATAGGTCACAGTCAAGGTCACAAGGCCATTGACCTTGGAGTCATTTGAAAGAGCATAATTAGTTGAGTATGCGTACCTAATATGAAGTCTCTATCTTTCATGGTTCAAAAGTTATGGCGAAGGTTAAAGTTTGCAGACAAACAAACAGACAAACAGACAGACAGGACAAAAACAATATACGCCCCGGATCTATCAATCCGGGCACATAAAAATCGAAATGATTCGTATTTCCCAAAGCTGTAGAGAGAACATGATATAATTAGTATCTGTGTATCATTGATGCCCGCATATGGCTGCTTATGGCGAAAGCTATTTCTATATTTCTCAAATGCAAGTCAAACTTCAAGGTCGAGGTCAAAGGATAAAAAATATTGGTACCCAAAGAACTGACTTGTCAGTGGGATATCATGTAAAATATGAGAACCCTAGCAACAATAATTAACAAGAGGCCCAGGGCCACATTGCTCACCTGAGAAGCTTTGAACATTCCGTTCTTTACCAGATTTTACCCTTGTATTACATATTGTGACCCCTACCTACCCTACTGATCATAATTTAAACAATTTGAAATCCACACTACCATAGGATGCTTTGATTCAACATTGTAATACTTTGATTCCCCATTATGGCCCCGCCCTACCCCCAGGGGTCATGATTAAAACAATTTAGAATCTGCACTACCCCAGGATGCTTCCACGTAAGTTTCAGCTTTTCTGGCCCAGTGGTTCTTGAGAAGAAGATTTTTCCTGTATATTTCTATGTAAAACTTTGATTCCCCATTGTGGCCCCGCCCAACCCCCAGCGATCATGATTTGAACAATTTAGAATCTACTATACACTACCCCAGGATGCTTCCAAATAAGTTTCAGCTTTTCTGGCCCAGTGGTTCTTGAGTAGAAGATTTTCAAAGATTTTTCCTACATATTGCTATGTAAAACTTTGATCCCCCATTGTGGCCCCGCCCAACCCCCGGGGGTCATGATTTGAACAAAACAGAATCTACACTACCCCAGGATGTTTCCACATAACTTTCAGCTTTTCTGGCCCAGTGGTTCTTGAATAGAAGATTTTCAAAGATTTTTCCCATATATTCCTATGTAAAACTTGGATTCCCCATTGTGGCCCCACCCTACCCCCGGGGGTCATGATTTGAATAATTTAAAATCTGCACTACCCCAGGATGCTTCCACGTAAGTTTCAGCTTTTCTGGCACAGTGGTTCTTGAAAAGAAGATTTTAAAAGATTTTTCCTATACATTTCTATGTAAAACTTTGATTCCCCATTGTGGCCCCGCCCTATCCCCGGGGGTCATGATTTTAACAATTTAGAATCTACACTACGAGGGGTGATCAAAAAGTTCGCAAACTATCTCTATATCTACAAAACCACAATTCAGATTAGAATGAAATTCGGTACACACAAAGCCATACACAAGGTTTATAAATAGCATATGCTGAATAAAGTTTCTCTCCTTGTTTGTGACGTCACAATGTGAAAATGACGAAATGACTTGTGACGAAAAATGGTTGTCTCAGTCGAACCACAGGAGTTCGCGTACCTATCAATTTTATCGAAAATTTCAGGAAATAAAAAATATACGTAATACCTTATTATTATAGGTATTACGTATATTTTTTATTTCCTGAAATTTTCGATAAAATTGATAGGTATGCGAACTCCTGTGGTCGAACTTGTTCAACAAACGACTGTACAATTTATTGTAATATCTTAGAAATCCCTCTACAGTATCATATAATAATTTGTACACAGTTTATTGAGATAAATGAGTTCCTATAAATTCAATTAATGATTGGATTAATCGTTTTAGTGAAGGAAGGCTGATGATTAGTTTGCGAACTTTTTGATCACCCATCGTACCTAAGAATGCTTCCACATAAGTTTCAGTTTTTCTGGCCCATTGGTTCTTGAGAAGATTTTTTAATGACGCACCCTATTTTTGTCTTTTCTTGATTATCTCCCCTTGTGAGGAGACTTGGCCCTTCATTTTCACAATTATAATTTCCTTTCAACCAAGGATGCTTTGTACCAAGTTTGGTCAAAATTGGCACAGTGGTTCTTGAGAAGAAGTCGAAAATGTGAAAAGTTTACAGACGGACAGACAGACGGACGGACGACGGACAAAATGTGATCAGAAAAGCTCACTTGAGCCTTCGGCTCAGGTGAGCTAAAAATGTTATGATCAAGATTAAATTTCTTAATTTTTTTTCAAATTAGGCAAAGCTCCAAGTCAAAGCCAAAGGGTGAAAGGGTATCCAAGGAAAGGCCTTGAAATGACTTCAAATGAGACATGTCTGTGAAATACTAGTAAAGCCCTAGCATAAACTATTCAAGATTTTTACTCATTCTTAAAGTTTTTTCAAAAGTTACGTCAATGTCCAATTTCAAAACCCAAAAATCAAAACTGTTATTACTTAAGGGAAGGTCTTGTCACAAGAAATATACTCGTGACATACGAAAACCTTAACACTAATTGCATGTCCTTAAGTTATTACCAAGTCTATGGTTTTTTCAAAAGAAGAACTCTAAGGTCAACGTCAAATTTCTAACATCTAATGAAATGTTCCTACCACAAAGAATATACGAGTTCCTACTACAAAGAATATACATGTACATGTGAAGTATGAGAGCCCAGTCAAAAGTTATGACAAAGGTTAAAACGGTTAAATTTTGAAAACGTAATCAGACTTGAAGATAAGGAGAACATATTCGTTGATATCAAAATGAAAAGTCTTGTCACAAGAAATAAAAATTTTAAACATGAAATCCAACTCTTCTGCCAATAAAAAGAAATGGAAAGGTTAAAGTTTTTGAGGACAAACAAACAGACAGATAAAAAGACAAACAGACAGAGAGACGGAAAGGGCAAAAAACATTTGCCTTCAAATCTTCGATTGCGGGGGCAATAAAAATTGGAGGAAGAGATCATGATATCTTTCCATGCTCTAGTTTCATCAGTCAACACATACCTTCCTCAATATATTCCTAAAGCGTGTTATCTGTCTAGAAGTCGGTGATTTGTGAATTTAGCGTTTTTTCTGAAAAACTAAAATCACGGAGGTAAGGATCAGAGATTTAGATGAAGATAATCAACCTTAAATTTAAGAAATGTTTATAATAGAAATTCCTTTCTCTTTTTCTGTTCGTCAGTACATGTACACCAAGAACTTTGTTATTTGTATCTCTTCCCTTCTTATTTTGACATTTAGCATTAACAAATAATTATTTCTTTCAATCCTCTTTTAACCAAAGTCACAATCTGAAAAGTGCAACAATTATTTGTCAAAGACTAAGCAATTGAAAGCGTACATAAATTTGTGATAAAGTGGTTCTTATCTTTACGATATTTAAATAATCATTGAATAATCGATCAATTAATCAGTTAATTTCCAAATTTAAAAATATTACAGCATAAAAGAAATGCGGCTATTCGGCATTATTTGAAATTTATTCACATTATGAAAATTGAGAAAGTAACAAAGCATACATGTCCTATCCTAGCTTAGAAAAAATGAAAACATGATCAAGTAACCTCATCGTGCACAGCACATCGTTGACACATTTATACAACATTTCTGCCCCGGTAATCCGGTAATCAAAGATTCAGGGTGTATATAGTTTTCCCCCGTCCGTCTATCTTTATAAACTTTTCCATTGCCCACAACTTTTGATTAGTTTGACCTATACCTCTCATATTTCACGAGCTTGGTCATAACTTTTGAACAGTTGGTGCTAGGCCTTTAATACTAGCATTTCAATTTTCACATAGGTATTTCTTATGAAAAGACCTTCCTCTTCACATCTTTCACATGACACTTTGACCTTGACCTTGGAGTTTGACTAACATTTAAAAAACTTAAACCCTGGACACTTTGCATTCATGGTGTATATTCATTGAGAAAATGTCCGTTCTCTGGATAACTTTTTTTCATTAATCCTTGACCTTGACTTGCATTTGAGAAACTTCAGCCTTCACCCAAAGCTGTCATACGGGAACATCAGTGTATCACAAACACATCTTGTTTGAATATGGTGACCAAAGAGAATCAAGACGCCAATCTCCGATATATTTTAGGAAATAGACATATTGTTTAAGGTGTTTGCTTTTTTGAAGTTCATAGTATTAAAGATAACTTTTAAACAGAACTTTAAAAATTCTGTGATAAAATCCTTGCTTTGCTAGAAACAAAACTGTTAAATGTCCACCAAAAAACGCGTATCGTTTAACTATGTCTATATCGTCTCATCAGTCGCAAGCTGTATTGTATATTAACTAAGTCATGAATCTAATGACTATAGATGTTAATTAAAAAGAATCTTTAAATGGACAACAATGGATTTATAATGAGTGTATATTCACGATCAATCACTGGGGAGATCGACGATACATGCCGCCGAAACACGAAGACAAAAACTGCCCAAAACCCAATCAATAACCGCCTCCTCGTGACGGAATATACATCTAAGTGTCCTGTAGGATGCCGTTGTAGCCCAAAGGAGACTGGACACCTTAAAGGAACTTACAACAAACCCTCATAAAGACGAGCATTCAGAGGTATTTTTGCTTTTTCTTCTAAATTCTATACATAATATCAGTATTTTTAAATTTAAGTTTTTTAATATACTAATATTAACGAAATGTCTTTAAAACTTTTTGGAGGGGTGGGGAGGTATTAGCTAAACTATTTAGAATATAAATTTCGAATATCAAATTCACTTATTTAACAATAAATCCTTAACTCTGGGAATTACATTCAATGTTGTGTCTGCATTTTCAAATTTTCACCCACGTGAAATCAATACAACCTTATCAAATCATTTATTTAAAATGTACATATTTTCAAAACCAAGCTATTAAAATTATACTAGTACATGATAAAACTGGCATATCTCTATTGATGTTATAAATTTTACATTTTTTTTTCGCAGTTATAGACATGTTTTTTTTTAACTGAAACGACGGTCATTAGAATAGAGTTTAATCAAATCAAGTTATGTTTTAACATTAGTTGCAAGTTTGTTTTAAATACCTGTATCAAATGTTGTGAAACATTGGATATTATTTAAACCTCGTCAGGAAACATGGTGGTTCGCCACATATTTCTTCATACATCTTGTACTTTAAATTTAGAGACACAATGGGACATGTCAGAGTAACTTGGATAAATCACAGGAGCATGCAATTTTATATGTTCTACAAAATTCATGACAGATTCTGCATTATCATCATTATAAGAGTATTATAACATCGTTACTCATAGCCCGAAATATATTAAGACATTATGTATCAGCACATATATATGTTATGCTAATATATTGTGTTGACACAACTTATACTCTGAACAACTTAAAACCCATAATAATCAAAACTTCAACTCTGAACAATTTACAATCCAACACAACTTCAATTATTTAAGACTTTTCAAAACTTACAGTACAATCACAAATTGTAATCCTATACTATTTACAACATTACACAGTTAAAATCCTATATTATTTTGAATGGTTAAACAAATGAAACTGTCGTTGTGGTCAATATTGCATTACCCGGATTCTCCACCACTTTGTCTCACAGGGATCGGGCACAGTTAAATCAAAACGTACCAAAAGCGTGTGAGAAATATATAATAGCACAACTTACAACCTTTACATAATATGTAATTCTACACGAATTATAATTTATTTACAATTCGAAATATGTAACAGTAAAATCAGCTTAGAATCCAGCATGATTTACGATCTTTCAGAGGCCTACAACGTCTGCAATAACCTTGAGCACAATAGTACAATACTCCTACAAAACGTACAACCTAACACAACATTGCAACCCTACAGAACTTGCAATACCAACACGACCTATACATTTTTCCAATTTTCTTTTTCATATGGATGAAATGCTTTGATCCGAAATATTTCAATGGTTTGCGTTCGAAGCGATTGCTTAGTATAACTATGTTTATTTTTATGTCAAGCAAATCAAAAATGATACTTTAAATTTTGTCTTTAGTAGAGGTCTGTTAAGTCGACAAAGATTCACAAATGAACACCATTGTACATGATACCTGGCCCCAAGACCAGAAACTGGGAACAGACTTGAGTCCAGAATTTAATTTTTAATATTTTGAGTTTTATTTTATGTATTTGCTTAAAAATTTACAGTGCCGTATAACATTTACAATCAGACATGTGAAGAAAATTTTGATTGATTACGTAAATTATATCGTAAGTCACATTGGTTTGAAATTTTGTCTTAAGTCTGCTCTCAGTTTATGGTCTAGGAGCCTGGATTTAGATACATGGTTTTTGGAAAATGCAATATCTACAAACAATTTAATGGTACATGTTTAATCTATTATATAAAATATAAAACAATATTAATTAATATTTGTTTGAAACTAAAGTTTTGACTAAAATTTCTGTTCTCGATACAGTAATTTTTCATTATTTTAACACATTTTTTTCATACTGCAAACTCTCCTGTTAAAATTCTAAATATTTTTTTTTTTAGAGAATGCACTCTGTGTGATACAAACTGTGGTTAGACCTTAATTTATTTAGATGTTTCTTTGTATAGATAAAAAGATTATGCATTAAACTAACACCTCTTATGTATAAACTTATCTTATAATCAAGTCTAACACTACTTCTTAACGTTTAAAGTCCAGGGTGATATTTCCAAAGACAATTTAGCAAAACTCATTAAACCAGAGGTAAACAAAAGATATACCCAAGCCGTTTGTTTAAGGAGCATCAAACTCTTTTCGGAAAGAATAAAATGCCAAATCATGAGCGATTGAAACATATAAATGGTTTCATTATAGTCATCTCGCTGTAAGTGACACAACAATGTAACAACAGCTTGTAGTACGGGTCAAAGATTATTTGATTAATTGTCATTGTGTAAAGGAATATTAAATCGCAGTAAATAAATCTGCAAGCAAACTTGCAGGTATTTTTATAACTTTTACTTTCTTCAAATAATTTATTTGTTAACGCACTTGTTGAGTCAGAACAATTAATTACATTCGAGAGTTTTAATATTTCATGTCTTAGAAAAACGTAGATTACATAGTATTATGTACTTTACTATATATAAGAATATATATAGTAAACAATTTATTTAACCTTTCATTCTAGTTGAGAGGAATCATCAAAGTATGTGCACAGCAGCATGAACGATGCAATATCAGAATTAAGAAAACGCGGAAAGAAGAAAAGTAAAATAGAACAACTTCTCTTGGTGGACCACAGTAATATATATTTTGAAAATGAACGACTTGCAGAACGTCTCGCTAAGTTCTTGGATGAACTTCACAAAGACAAACATAGACAGGAGATGGTCCGCAACATTGAGATCCAAGAGCTCAAACGGGAAATTGACAACCTTCAGGCAATGAAAGATGCCTCGTCAGCACAGACCAAGAAGTTCCTACAAACTCTAGAGAATTATTATACATCTAGTGCAATACCAAAACCTGAGAAGAAAACCAGACCTCACACTACTGGAAGTTACTTCAAGAAGTCACGTGCCAAATCAGAAGAGCGGGAACGGACAGAGAAACCAAAAAGCAAAACAAGAGCAGTCAGTGCCAGTAGACACGAAGAATCAGTAAGTGAAAAAGAATTCGAAAGAGCGAAGAAGCGCGAAAAACGTGCCCCTGCAGACGACACAAAAACTGATGATCAATCCGAAGGTGACAAAAAGAGCCGTACTTTAAAATACCCAGAAGACTGGTATACAACTGTGCTACCTGCCTCTGACAATTGTTTAAAGAAAATTCGACAACAATACAGAAGGGAGCAGACTGCTCCAACAATAACATTATCAAAACGATCAAAAAAGTCTGACAAATCTAAAGATAGTGCAAAACCTCAAACTAGTACTGCCACTGGGCAAAGAGGTCTAAGTCGAGAAAAGACTGAAGACATGAAACAAAGATCAGGAGTAAATACGGCAGGGAACCGGAAGAATTCTGTTGCAACGGAAGTGAGCAAGTCAGACATTGACGAAGAGATAGAGTCAAAATCCCGAATCAAAATGGTTTGCCAGCAAAAGTCAAAACCGGTGATGATGTCTTTGAGACAAATGAGAGAGTTAACAGGAATGGACGGAAACAACGACAACATGCCAAACAAAAGGCAGGAAAGACTAGACAAACAAATACAGGAAACGAAAGTCAAATTTCTATCGTTAACTCAGAGGGTTAAGACATTTGTTAAGGAACTGGACGAAAAAATTGCTCAAGATTTAGAAGACTCTAAACCTAAGGAGAATGAATCTCATGACGATATGTATTCTGGAATATTGCCACCAGATCAGGACGCTGTGCCAACTTAGGATTTCATCACATGTAGTACTCCAAAAATACCCATGTCTTTAAAACGCCAGAATCATGTGATACTGATAATATGAAGTAATCAACAAGGGAAATAATGTTTGTTACATATTCGATATACATGTACATGTATTGAGATTTCCAGTGGATCATAATTCTGCATTTAGAATAGTGGATACATGTACATATGCCAAAAATTGTTAACGTGGTTAACATGATGTTCCTCATGTCAATAAACTTTCAGTCCGTTTTACATATTTACAAATACATGTATGTTTACTCTAAGTTTTGAATTTCATGTGCCATCCATATGTGTAGTGTTTTTGTTGGTGTATGTACGCCTTGGATAGATGGTGATGGATATATTACAGTGTAATTAATCAATTCAAATTTACAACAAAACCTGTCACAATCGATATTTTAAAAAAATGCTTTTGATGCAACAGATATGTATTTTGTGTTCAATAAATACCATATGTTTAAATTATTTTCCATTTTAAGAGTTGCATATATAGGTGTATATAATTTATTGGTGAATATATCACAATATTGATAAAAACAGAATGAAATATTTATGAACATGAATTGATGTGGATTTTGATATGATGTTTCACAATGATGGATTAGTTACACATTGGGTATTATTTCTAAACTGTACAAGTTAACTCACTACAAATTTTTCTCTTATCTTCTGATTCAATTGAAATGAAATTAATGCTTAAATTAGAAATTTATTTTAACAGAATATACCAAATAAACATTTGTTCCATACCAACAAATCTACCCACAGAGTGACATGGGTCCATTCATAGTACATGTACCTCTAGCTAGGGGATTTAAATTTTAGCGATGGTTTGAAATGATAAAAACCAAGGGTTTTTGAAATATATTAATATGTACAATAGATATGAAGGCTGATATCCAAAAAAAGAAGAAAAGAATGATGCAAGTTGAAATGTATTCACTTAAAATATTAAGAGATAACACTTTTCCTTAATCAACTTTATTAATTTAATCTATTTTAAAATGAAACATAAACATATTTCAAACCAAAACAAAAAAATATAATATTTAATATTCAACTGATTGACAAAGTATTTCATAGTCATGGAAAACAAGCAATCAAAATATTAATGAATCTTTAACTTAATTTTAGTCTGGCTTAAATAGAATTCAAAAAGAGGGTTAACAAATCAGAGATCAATCAATTCAAATGAAATAAGAGATGTTTGTAAAACACTTATGTCCCCATCGGAATTTTAGAAAGTCCAAAAGGGCATAACTCTGTCAAAAATGGCGCGATCATACCCAAAACAAAACTTGACCTAGATAATCATCTGATAAATCTATAACTAAATTTCATTTCAGTATGTGCACCCTCGGCAAAGAAAATGAATGGAAACTGCAAATAATTGGAATTTTTGTAAGTTCAAGGGGCATAACTCTGTCAAAAATGGCGCGATCTTACCCAAAACAAAACTTGACCTAGATATTCATCTGATATATCTGTATACCATATCTCATTTCAGTTTGTGCAACGGTTGTGAAGAAAATGAACGGAAACTAAGTGGACCGACCGACCGACAGACAACAGCAAAGCAATATGCCCTCCCTTCTTCAAAGGGGGCCATAATAAGAGATACATAATGTTCACCTCAAAACAGCAATAATTGCATAATATGTTTTACTGCTGCAAATGAAATGTGATGAATATCTTTGATGAAGTTTATTAACCAGTAAATACTGTTCTTATCACAGACTTTTCATCAATAACTATATAAAATACATTTTCGATTGGTAAATGATCATGCCTACATGACAATATAAGTAAAAAAATATATATATTTTAAAAAATGTGCAAAATTAATGATTTCATTAGTAAACATGAAAAATGTTGACAAATAAAAAATTAACTTTGGTATATCTTTTACTAAGTATATAATGGATATATAAATTATAATTAATTGCAGAGAAGAAAATGTCATGAAACTCTTGCTAGTAAGATAATCATAACAATCATGTATAACACTTATCAAATCATTCTATTGCAATTCCCTTATGTACATTTCATGTCACTCTATCACAGTTAGTAATAAAAAAGAAAGAAGTTAATAACTTTAAAAAAATTGAAGTTGAGCATGCAGTGTACCTTTGCTGGATTAGAGATCTCTTAATTTGTAGGAGACAAGGAATGGCTCTGAAGGTTGCTGTGTGCCTACGACATGCTTCATGCTCTGTTAAAAACAAATGAAAATGTCACTAAAAAACGGTCTGTAGAAAAAAAATGCAAAAATAACAAAAAGTTTAATATACATGTATTTCACATATTATTGTAGAAATATTTACAAAACAAAACGCAGGACCCTCAAAAGTTTTACACTTCATTATATTTATGTTTTGCTTTTTCTTTTTTAAAAAAGTTAAGTCCCAAAGATTTCGTTTTGGATTTTAGAATTTTTTTTATTGAATGTAAAGATTATAAGCAATGCTCACAGGTTTAGGAATGTTCTCCGACAAAACATTGACATCAAACTTATAGAGATATAGGGCAACGAACATCTGTAACTCCATCTGGGCATACCATCTGCAGAAACATCAAGTTTTATATCGTACTAAGTGAACTGTTGCTTTATTTTAAAATATAACATTACAGTTATAATATGTGACTTTTTATACATAAATTAGACATAGACAGACAATAGATATAGGCAGACCTCCCAGGACATTGGTAACGCCCACCACCGAAGGCAATAAAACCATCCAAGAACAAATTCTTCTCCAGCTCTGTAGTCTGCCAGCGGTCCTTTAATTAATAAATTTATGACATTTAATATTTCAAGCACTAACGGTTCTTTTCCTTCACTTGAAACTTATTATCTAAGAGCAATCTTGAAGTTATATCTATGTAGTTATAGCAATGTGTGATCTTACAGGATTCTATCAAAGCTATAGAATTCCTAAGTTGGAGTTAGGATGACTTTTTCTGTAAGTTAATCTGAGTGAGAATTTCATTCATAGTTATTGAATTCTTTAAGTTGATCTGATTACAATATTCTATCATAGTTATGAAATTCTGAAGTTGATCTGAGTTATACATTCTATCATAGTTATAGAATTCTGAAGTTGATTTGAATATAACATTCTATCATAGTTATAGAATTCTGGGGCCCGCTTTATAAAAGAACTTACGACTAAGACCAAAAACTTCAGATTATTGTGAAATTTTGCAAAATTAATAATTCTCTTTGAAATTGTTTGTGTAAAAATATCTTACCATATTCCTTTTAAAAAGTTAAAAATAATGTTCGATATAATGTTAATTAAAAAATTATATGAAGAATCAAATTTGGTCATAAGTCATAGGTCCTTTTGTAAAACGGGCCCCTGAAGTTGATTTGAGTATAACATTCTATCATAGTTATAGAATTTTGAAGTTGATTTGAGTGTGTCATTCTATCATAGTTATAGAATTCTGTTTGTTGATTTGAGTGTGCCATTCTATCATAGTTATAGAATTCTGAAGTTGATTTGAGTGTGTCATTCTATCATAGTTATAGAATTCTGAAGTTGATTTGAGTTTAACATTCTATCATAGTTATAGAATTCTGAAGTTGATTTGAGTGTGTCATTCTATCATAGTTATAGAATTCTGAAGTTGATCTGAATGTGTGTTATAAATTGAAGTTAATTTGAGTATAACATTCTATCATAGTTATAGAATTCTGACTTTCTATTATAGTATGATTCTGAAGTTGATTTCAGCATAACATTCTATCATAGATAAAGAATTCTGTTTGTTGATATGAGTGTGACATTTTACCATAGTTTTAGAATTCTGAAGTTGATGTGAGTGTGACATTATATAAATATTGCATGTAGTTCTATTATAGTTATAGAATTCTGAAGTTGATTTCAGCATAACATTCTATCATAGATAAAGAATTCTGTTTGTTGATATGAGTGTGACATTTTATCATAGTTTTAGAATTCTGAAGTTGATCTGAGTGTGACATTATATAAATATTGCATGTAGTTGTAACATTGAAAATTTTCACCCCAAGAAAACCATTGTCAACCGAGGCACAGCTGAGGTTGACAATGGTTTTCGAGGGGTGAGAATTTTCAATGTTACACTCAACTACATGCAATATTTATTACATTATACTGAATGTTTTATACAAATACATATAACAGTGAACCGTGCATGCATAAATTCTGCGCAGTCGCTATTTTTTGGAATATCACCCGTCATCAAGCAATGTTGACTGTTGCTACGCTGGAGGGCGTTGCTTCATTATTCAGTGGGTAAGACAGTGAAGTGGTGACTTCTATTGTTCTATTGCCTCAGATCTTTCACTTTTCATACCCATTTCACACATATCCGCGTTTACCATGGGGGGTCTGCGTTTCCCAAGCGGGGTCCATGGTAACTTTTTTCTTGTTTTAGTATATACTTTTTTTAACCTGGTAAATTACAGGGGGGGGGGGGGGGGTCCTGCCTCTAGATCCGGGCATGGTAAAATTCTGAAGTTGATGAATGTGTCATTCTATCATAGTTATAGAATTCTGAAGTTGATCTGAGTGTGTCATTCTATCATAGTTATAGAATTCTGAAGTTGATTTGAGTTTAACATTCTATCATAGTTATAGAATTCTGAAGTTGATGAATGTGTCATTCTATCATAGTTATAGAATTCTGAAGTTGATCTGAGTGTGTCATTCTATCATAGTTATAGAATTCTGAAGTTTATTTGAGTGTGTCATTCTATCATAGTTATAGAATTCTGAAGTTGATTTGAGTGTGTCATTCTAACATGGTTATAGAATTCTGAAGTTGATCTGAGTGTTACATTTTATCATAGTTATAAAATTCTGTTTGTTGATTTGAGTATGCCATTCTATCATAGTTATAGAATTCTGAAGTTGATTTTGAGTGTGCCATTCTATCATAGTTATAGAATTCTGAAGTTGATTTTGAGTGTGCCATTCTATCATAGTTATAGAATTCTGAAGTTGATTTGAGTGTGCCATTCTATCATAGTTATAGAATTCTGAAGTTGATTTGAGTGAGTCATTCTATCATAGTTATAGAATTCTGAAGTTGATTTGAGTGAGTCATTCTATCATAGTTATAGAATTCTGAAGTTGATCTGAGTGTGTCATTCTATCATAGTTATAGAATTCTGAAGTTGATTTGAGTGTGTCATTCTATCATAGTTATAGAATTCTGAAGTTGATCTGAATGTGTCATTTTATCATAGTTATAGAATTCTGAAGTTAATTTGAGTATAACATTCTATCATAGTTATAGAATTCTGTTAGTTGATATGAGTGTGACTTTCTATTATAGTTATAGAATTCTGAAGTTGATTTCAGCATAACATTCTATCATAGATAAAGAATTCTGTTTGTTGATATGAGTGTGACATTTTATCATAGTTTTAGAATTCTGAAGTTGATCTGAGTGTGACATTATATCAGAACTTCATCAATTATTCTGTAGGTTGGTCTGAGTAGGACATTCTTTCACTCAAGCCTATAGCAATTATTTAAAAGGAAGGGGGAGGGGGTATTCTCCCAAAAAAGAAAAGAACAACAAGCAAAAACATTTTGAAAAGTAAACTGTCTACACTATACTCAGAAAATTCCCCCCCTCCTCGTTCTATGGGTTTGTCTTTATAACTATACGGTGAACTTGGAGAAACGTTCTTACTGGATTAAATGTATGTGGGTGGGGGAAATATTTTGGGTCCCTGTGACTCCAGTATGGAGAAACCATCAGCATGTCTCCTTTAGGTATCGTGTAATCCTGCAAAACAAAAATAATATAAATTGTAAAGCACAATATTTGTCCCGTTTATAATATTAAAATAGACATGTGAATCCTCATAAAAAATATCACAAGTTTATTAAAAAGATTTAATTGATAACAGAAAAAATACAGAATTTTTATGCACTTTGATTCCTGGTAAAGCATCTTTACTGATAGAAGATGACTGATTTTTAAGATCTAAAGATAAAAATTTACGAAAATCCCCTGACCCTGACAGTAAATGATGTCATGACTCTGCGTGTTATAACTCCTACAGGGTGTAAACGTACTGCCTCCAATATACAACTCCTCAAATACGGCATCTTTCTCAGAAAATCCTCGTTAAACTCCCATTGGTCCTCTGTCAAGGTTATTAACTTTTTTAAATACATACAGTCAAACTTAACAGGAGAGAAATTTAACTTTGAGATATTCAAAAATTCAAGATATGTAATGAGGGGAGCAACATAAAGAAATGGTGGTTGAGACTACAGTGTATTAACTAACTTTGACTTATCCCTTACATTTAAAATAGTGTTTCAGATAATGAAATTCAACTGAGTGTAATAATCAAAGAATTATTTTTAATTCAATTGATAAAAATGCACCTTTTTAATATGGGACCTTTCATTATTGCCTCCATTATACTCAGTTGCATGCACGGAGAGCAGTCAGAGCACATCCTTCACTGTGGAAAATGGTAGTTTTTTTTATAATCACTTTTTTTTTTGGGGGGGGGGGGGTTGAATTGGGCTGAATTGTATGTATCATCAGAATTTTTATGCATACATGTCTGTTTGTACTATTGAAATTATACTAATTCTTAATCTCATTCTTTAACACATACTTCTTGTTTCTCTTTTGAAAATTTGCTAAATTATGTTATACATTGCAGCAAATATTAATGTTACTTACAGCTAAAACTCTCACATAACAGGCTGAATTACGGTATAATAAAACATGACTGATAACATCGCAGAGGCAAGTGGTTGATGATTCAGTACGTTCCTCTCTCGATGGTGAATAACTGATTCACAATCTTAATGACTGTATACTGGCAAATAATTTGTTTATCTAAATTTGATTACACTTGTCTCTGCCAAGAAAACATGTTTTTCTTGTGTTTTAAAGTCGTTGCAACAAAATCAAATAACACAGAATTAGATAAAAATCTTGTTAGCTTCAGAGCCTAGCTTGCTTTACATTTGAAGAATCTAACATCTGTTGTATCAGAATTAATTAAAAACATTTCATTTTATTATTTATTTCATTTTTGGCTGCCAGAGATGAAATCACATGACCTTGACAATATTTTTATAAGTTAATTTTTAAGATTTATTTTTCTGAATTTTTCGGAAGCATCATTTGATGCATAAAATTCAGTGTGTCATTTGATAAGAACTTTCATAAAAATTTCTTTGAAATCGGAGATATCTTGTAAAGGAAATGAAATCATCCAAAAACAACCTTCATCTTACTTATTTTATTTTTATATTGCAGCCTTTCATTCATCAGTGTCTAACATATGGCTTAAATTCATAATCTGAGAAAAAAAAATTAAATAAAATCTCGAAATATATATATTTGTCCTCTTCCCTTGACAGCAAATAAACAAAACTAATACAGATAAACATAGATATATCATCATCTATTTTAATTCTGATAATCTCTACATCATACTCAGAAAACCTTTTTTCCAGAGCCTGGGAAAGGTTTTCTTATCTCGGCTGTCATTTCAGAAGTTTTGTAAACATTTTTTAAAGCTTTTTTATATCATTAAAAATTGAGCTAAAGATCATCTGATTTTAGGTCACCCAGTGCTAAAATATCTTTAGTGTAACAAGTCATAAGAATGTGTGGTGGGGCAAAATTATTTAAAAACTCAATTAAGTGCAAGGAAATATACATTAAGGAAGTAACATTTTAAAACTTTTCACAGATAACTCCAATTGCATCTTCTGGCCTTTTTGGCAAGCTCAGAGAAAATACTTCAAATGTATTGACATCACTAGATTTTAAAAATTTAGTCACTTCCAAGTTCCTACTGGGTATTTAGTAATTTATTGGATAGACAGAGTTGGATGTCTTTTTTGTAGAAATTTAGGTCTTTACATTCAAAATTAAATTCCCTGTTATACAGATAAAAGGCCTCTCTACATTTATTTCAAAGTTTAAGAGAAGGGGGGGGGCATCATGGCTGCCTATGTAACACATTCAAATTTGTTTTTCCAGAAGTTGCGGTTGAGATAACAGAAAACAGTGACCTAACTATAGGCAACACATGTCATAATTTTTCTATCCAATCAGAATTATATGCTAATATTTCAATTTCTAAGTTTTTTTTCTCTGTGATAACTCTTTGAAAGTGTGCAGAGTTGATTTCTTGATAATTCTACCGGAATGTTAATTAGGCAGGTTGATATGCCTAATACACATGCAAATCTCAGGCAACTGCTTTTGTGTTTGACGTCAGTGGGCGTGGGAGTCCTCATGTAATTTAAATCTATGTCTACATATTTAAAGTCTAAGTCTACAACTTTATTTCACAATGAAATGGAAATATACGGAACCACTGTCTAGCTAGTATAATAGTATATGCCAGGGACATTAACTATAGTGGGAAACATGGGATAATTCATGCATAACGGGCGAAGGCCATTATGCAAATGATCCCATGTTTCCCACTATTGTTGATGCCCTCCAGGCATACTATACTAACTAGACAGTGAATCCTTAAATAAATTTCTACGATAGCATATTGTTTACTAGAATTCACTATCCAGTATCTACTAAATTTTTTGTGTTCATGTCTTCTAAATACATTAAGGATCAAGGTCTGTGTAAACCTGGAATAAGTGTGTCAAAACCAAAAACTTGTTAATGAATAGGCACAGAGCCCAAAATGTCAGCTACGAAAAAAAACAAACAAACAAATAAATAACCATCTGGCTCACGTGATTAAAAAAAAAATCTGAAGAGAAGTGTAAATAAAGATTGACTTACAGGGACAGCATTAGCCAGCGAGGCCCATAGAAGCAGAAGAGCGTAATTCGGAGCATGAGGTCGGTCTGTGATGCTGATCAGTGTCTGTAAAACTGTCTGAAAAACATAAATATAATGGTCATTTGTAACTGAACTATCTCGAAAAAATAGTTTATGGTGCTTTAGCTCAGATTTTGAGAAAGATTTTTAAGGGGATACATTAAATGTGCAGCAACAGTTCATAAAATACTGCTGAAAAACTGATTTCTGAAGGGACAAATACCTTCCTTATTTACATAAAAATACTAACAATTTCATTTAAAGTATTTTTTTCCATCGGGTATTCTTAAATATTTAAATTTTTTCTGCATAATGCATGCATAAATACTTTTCATGATATGTAACATTAAATTTTTTGTAGACCACCAAATGAAATTAACCCAGTTAGATAAGGCAGTAGAAAGAGTGAATGGGTATTATTTTTTCTCCTCCACAACCCCCCCCCCCCCCCCCCCCACACACATATTTACTTAATGCTTCATTAGATGACAGTTATTAGCCTCTTCCAACAGTATTTAAAAATGAATTTTTTTTACTTTCCTTGGCCACAGCAGGAATATAACAAATTCCTAGAATCAACTATTTTATCTGTACCTGATCATTGTTTTTTCCTTGACTCTCTAACTTGGTCACTACTCCTCTGAACTTAGACAGAAGATACTGTTTTGCTGTAGACCAGTCTCTGTTACCAATCAATGGAAAAAAAATAATTTTATAAAAAACACCTCTAGGCCTCAATATATGATGCATAAATGTGTGTGTTTCAGTGGCTGGGAAAATACAAGTTTAGATTTTTTCAAAGAACTGACTTTACACTTTGTAATTCTCTGGATTGTAACAGGGCTAGTCAGAAAATCTTCTTTAATACTTGGCAACAACAAAATAAGGAACTCATTACCAGTTTTAATTTATCAGCTTAAAAATTATCATTTCAAAGCCCAATTCCTCTTTCACCTTCCCCCCTTTCCAAAATAAATAAATAAATATAAAAAAGAAAAATTTTTAACTTGGTGAAGAAAATTGTGTAATATATCACACTGTCACAAGGGAGATAAATCTGGTATACATTTGCATTACAACATTAATTCAAAATCTATGTGTGCATGAACACTTCGTAGGAGTGCAAAGATTAAAAATAAAGTATGTACCGACCGATATTCATTATAACAAAACTTAAATAATAGTCTCTTATAATAAACATTTGAACTCTGATGTATTATATGGTAAGAGTTCTTGCCACCTACTCATAGTGACTGAAATTATTTTCATTTCAAGGAATATATACAACAACATCAGTGATAGTGTTTGTACCTGATAAACATTGGAGGTAATCTTGCTCCATATTCAAACTGTTCATCAAATATAATAAAATGTTTACACAGCCTTTCAAATTCCTGAAAAAAAAAATCTCAAAACATTAGCAAGAGTTGTAGAGACCTGTACTTCAATTAATTATAAGAATTAACTTAAGCATATATTGTAGAGTTTTACCTCTGAATTCTCTATAGGAAGAGTATTATCACCAAACAAATTATTTATAACACCACCATACATAGTTTTCCTGACTAAATCGAACAAATCACCTTCCCCTGAAATTGTTAAAAAAAATTATTGTTAGTATATATAAACAAGCCCCTCCCCCTTCTCCAAAATAAATTTTCTGACCAATATTAATTTTACCTTCTGGACCAAACACGCTGAGTATTCTCTCTTTAAACTGCTGATGTAAATGAGGTGTGACCTCACTCAGACGTGAAGAGGCTAGTCGTCCCTTCAACATATCATGAATCTTGGTGTGGTTCTGCATGAAAGACTCCTCACTGATAGAGGCTAGAATAATGAATATTTTGTTTTGATTTTTAAAAAGAAATTAAATTTTTATGTGTGATGGTAAACTCTTTTAAACGCATACTGTAGCTACAAACTAAGGTATCCAAATTGTAAACTTACTAATATGCACATGTTCCTGTTCTCAACTCAAAATTTTGAAGAAGAAAATTAAACATTATCAACAGTATTGGTGATGCATTTGGCTCTTTACTGCCTAGAGCTCACTACATATAGATACACATACCCACGTTCTGTACTGGGTCCTGTACCGCTCTCTGGAAGTCCACATTAGAAGACTGAAAGAAATGATGGAAATCCTCATTCTCTGTCAGAAAAGTCAGTCTCTCTCCTGCCACACTGAGTGTGAATATAGGACCAAGCTGTTGGAGATAAAGTTATATCATAGGCCTTTAGATCGCTTAGAAAAAAAAAATTGAGGTGTTGAAAAATTTTTTTTTTTTTTTTTACACACAATTTTTTTTTTCAAGCGATCCAAAAGCCTGTGAGTTATATATACATTTAGCTGTAATCCACAATGGTTCGTGTGGCGGTATTTAGGGAAATGTGTTGTATAAAGCAAACAAACTCATATCAATTATTGAAATAAAACCCATGAAGAAATAAATTTCTGGGTCATGGGTATGTGCAAAATCCAACAAAAATTTAACATCCTTTACAAGTTTAAATATTAACGTTCAAGGCTCAATATCCATGGACTGGTGTTTTTATACTATATTCAGAAAGCTAGCTTAATTCTTTATGTTCAAAAGTCTTGAATTTAACAGCACGCATTTATATATTAATACAAATAATTAAGTACAAGTGAAAAATAATTTCTTCCCTTTAATAAAAAGAAAATAGGATGTTCCTTATTTAGTTTACCTGTAAAGAAAGACTTTGGTTATGTTTACATCTAGGAGTGATAAACGAGTTATCTCCCTTGAAACGCAATGCATGTGTATTTTGCATGTTTACATCCCCAAATCAAGTATAAGCACCAGTGTCACGTCGAGTTGAAATATTTGGAGATAAATATGAAATGTTCTTCTCAAATATGTCTAATGATTATTCCTGTACCGGATAGTTTAAAGTACAAACCTCCCTCCTCTTTTTCTCTATGAAAGCTAATGGTGCTATCCCAAACTCAAAAGCACATCCTAACCATGGAATCCAACCTTCATACGATGGCGGGTATTTGTTATTTTGCAGTCTTTTCCTATATAAAAAGAAGTAAATAATCGAGAGAGCAAGAATTAATGAAGTTAAAAGTGTCGCAGGTTCAAGCGAAAGTGAAAGCACTTCCATGTTCGGTGAACTGTTTGTCCGAGGAGTTCCAAAGGGCACCTGACAATGACCTTCACCTTGTAACAACGTGAAGCTCTTCAACGAGATACGACAGATCGATTTAGAAAGAAGTCAAAATGTCGTACAAAACTTTACCACTTCTATTTATTAACCTCGGTGGTGAAATGATTTATATTTTGGATCAAAGACTAAGAGCTCAAAACATCCCAAATGAAAAATCAAGAAAAGGTGAGTGCAGAATTATTAATCCATTCTTCAGAAGGTGCACTTACATGTACAGTTATCAATATCATACCTGTATTCTACATTCGCTTTGAATTTACAAAATTCAGTTACAAATGACGAGCCCATGTGGTTACACAGCATGAAGAATTATTTTAAAACTTTCACGTAGAACAAAGATTGTTCTTGGAATTTTTACATGTTATAGTCTATCTTTCTCTTAATCTCTATGTTGCAAAATGTATGTTTAGCTGCATAACTGAATAACTGAAAAACTCTCTCAAATTAAATTATGAATAATTCCAACTTACACAAATTCCTATTTAATATGGCCAGTACAGGGAATTTTCAGCATGAAGTGTATGCAGAATATCAGACACTCCTTCCAAAGGACCTTTAAGCCGATGGTACTTTTGCTAAGACAGGTCAGCCCAAGAGCTATGACCATCATTAAGACATATTGCCAAAGATTAAAAAAATCAAATGGTTCATCCAATTGGTACATGCACATATAAGTCCAAAACTTTTTGTGTCCAAATAATACTAATCATATTGACCGGTGAGTTTGAACAGGGGCTCAATGAAGTCTATAAATTTTCTGACAGATTTCCAATTCTTTATCAGATGTCATGTGATATTGAACAAAGCATATTATTTAAATATATACCGATGTCACTGTAAAGACATAATCAGAGTTTCTTTATATGAAAAATCAAAAAATACTTCCACCAATTTTTCAGAATCTAATAAGATTCCACTGCCCCAAAATGATTCTTGGTCCTTTTGAAATTCCTCTGTAAAATAATCATTTTATCTTTAAAAATATGAGAATTATACATTAAGCATTTTTAAACCATGGACAAACAAAATATAACAGATACAATCAACTAAATTGGAAATCTTGTCTAACAGATAATTTTTCTTTGTACAAGGTACATGTATGTGTATTATATACAGTGGACCTTCAGATATCCGGACCCCAGATATCCGGATGCTTCAGTATCCGGACGACTTTTCATCGGAACGGAATTTTTAAACGCTATTTTGTCTTGTTTAACTGGTAATTCAGATATCCAGACGCTTCACATAGCCGGACAAATTGACTTAGAACCAAAACGTCTGGATAAATGAGGCTCCACGTGTATATGGACCAAGCTATCTCATATGTTGGACCAGCCTGTCAGAAATGTTGAGAAAAGGGGTCATTATATACCAGCAGTTCATTTACCATTTCTTATCAATTTGTGCCAATTTTGATTTGTATATCTATATTTTTTCTCCATTTCACAGTTCTACATGATATCATATCTACAATGTTCCACAAAAGATTCATGGAGGAGTTATTTAAGCCCCAACCTCTGTATTCCAAGAAAGCCATGAGGACAGTGTTTGACAGACTAGCTCATGCCTCAATCATGAGACTGAATGCTCCAAGCATGGACAAAGTAAGAGAATGTGTTTTTTGCAGTATCATCAAAAATCAGTGTATTCTTTCAAAATTGTTTAGATAGATGATTGAGTCCCATTTCCAGAACCGAGGGATTTTCTCTCTGTATGTAGTGTAACAGAGAGAAAACCCTTGGGTTCCGATGATGGATAAAGCCTTAAAGAATCCTGAAATTATCGAGAAGAATATTTAGGAAATGCTTTTCCTTTTATTTCTAGCTATATGACCTTATGACAATGGCCTTTAAGTATCAGGTGTCACTTTGTCTGAGGCCAAAAGAAATCATACTGATCACCTTAAATCACATGGACGCCATCCGTGCCTTTGTTGAGGGTCAACCAAACATCAAGCAACAGGTTGATCATGTCTACAGGCTGCTCATAGAGGTAAAACTTAATTAAGTACAGTAAATCACAGTTATAAAGAACTCTATAGGCGAGTCATAGAAGTAAAACAAATAAAAAAAGTATAACTCAGTTATAAAGAACTCTAAATTAAAGATGAGTCATAGAGGTTAAAACAAAAAAATACAGTAAAATTCAGTTATAAAGAACTCTTCTTGCTGCTCATAGAGGTACAAATACCGTAAGTACAGTAAAACTCAGTTGTAAAGAACATTACCGGCTACTCATAGAGGTAAAATATAATTATAGTAAAACAGTTATAAAGAACTCCAAGGGCTACTCATAGAGGTAAAAGAAAAAAAATACAGTAAAAGTCAGTTATAAAGAACTCTACATGCTGCTCATAGAGGTACAAACTAGATACGATCTCATTGCGAGCAACGAGAGGTCTTCCGTCCGTTTTAGGAAAAGAAACCCACGTAAAATCGAGCTGAAAAGAGATTCAAAATTTTGGTCACAAGGAGGATTGAAACCATGTCGCCAACGTGAATGCGCTTTTTTTTTCTTTTATATCCCCAACGCGCTAACCATTAAGCTATTGGGAGTACTGCTCTAAATATACTTGTGTATACCACGGTACTTTTGCAACAGTTCACCTGTCTAAGAATTATAAAAAGCATTCATAATTTCGCGCCAAACGCCACGAGTAAATATTCGCGCCTTTTCTTTGGACTGATCTATTAGATATGTATGATAGCATCAATTAAATTTTAAAAATAAAATATTCTTAGCGCCTTTATTTTATTTTGACGTTAAGAAAGTATATGTAACACATTATACACATTACATATCGTATCTAGCCCAGTTACACTAAAGCAGTGAAACGGAAATTAAGTTTTAAGATTGACACTCAATTGCAACGTACTACTGTAACGTGTCGGATCTGAGCGGTCAGTAGGTCCGTGTTCGGATTACCGAGTTTTACTGGGGATATGATTGAATGCAATATATACAGATAATAATATGACACCTGCCTGGTGTCTTTAAATCAAATGACCTAAGTGCTTTGCATAATTATATATCTTCAGTTAATACCGGCACCAGCCTGGTGCCATATGATAATTGCCTCACTATACTCGTACAACTGACTATATAAGTCAACATCTATCTGCCTGGTGCCTCTTGATTTAGCCTTTCACATTTGCCTGGTGTATAACTGCTTACCAAGTTGCCTATATAACTCTAGCCAAGTGGCTACAATATACTTACACAGTGTGATTTAACTTTGTAAGAGCTTCTCTGTCCTAATGACAAACCCATGGCTAATGTCACACAGTTACATTTTAACTAGTCACTGACAACGGCAACTTTGCACAATCCTATTTGATCGATAAACCAATTGGTTTATGCATCAAAGTGAAGACACAAGCCAGTTGGCTGTACTGCCCCCTTGTACCTCAACTTAATCAATGATCATAAGTTATCAGATATCATATTGATAAAATAAAACAGACTGTCTTTCTTTTGGCAACACTATTATTATTTTCTAACAGAACATCATTTATCAATAATACTTGTATAATTCTTTAGTCAATTGACCAATTAATTACAATATTTACATTGATTATCTATTATAATATAAACAAGTAAGAGACTCCAACCATTTCACTACTACGTGAGAGTCGAAGTAGTTTTTTACATTTCATGTATCCTTATGTCAGAATGGTTTAATCAAACGCTCAGCTGCCTCCATAAATCCCTACTCGCGAAATGGCGGAGTTGACAGAGACAGCCGCCATTTTGGACACGCTTCAGATTTTTGAATGCAAATATCTAGACTTTAGATCTATCAACATTCAAACAAATTAAACAGTAAGCATTATAAGGAGGGCTTCTATTACCATACCAAATAAAAATGAAAAATACTGAAAAACAAAAAAGTTAGAAAATAAGATTTTTTTAAATTTGCATCTCGTAACGACCGGA